AATAATAAAAAACATAAAGCACATATGTACATATGTCAAAATGACGGACTTTTTTTTTTTTTTATAAATACTGTAAATGGGAGATGGCGATGTAACCACAAAATGACGTATGTCGAGGCTGACGTAACCCGAGGACTGCCTGTAATTAATTTTTTTCCCTTCATGGGCCATAGTTTTCTGATTCTTTGCATGTTTGGTAATTTTTTATTGGATGCCAAGCTTTATAAAATTTACCTTGTTGGTATTGTATATTTTTATATTCTAGAACTTTTCTTGAATTTTGTTTTTCGGCAGTTAAGTTACTTATTAACAGTTTGATCCTTTCAGCCCTTACTTTTAACACATTGCTAGCTTTACCCAGTGGCCAGATAAGTTTGTATTGAACAAGTATAAAAATGTTTTACATAAATGTTAAAGGCACACTTTAAAATTAAAAACTCATTGCATTTTGAAGTCATTTATTACATGTTCTTACAAGCTAATATCTTTTTAAAGTATGATACTTTGTAAAATACTGTGTAATATGAAGCGAGAATTCCTGCGATCCGTCCGCAATATGTTAAGATTTGTTAAGTGAAACCAGTGTAGGTTTTAGTGTAGAGCTAATCTCCCTCTCCCCGAGGCAGCACCCCTTTGACTCTCTGCCCAGTGTCCTGTGGACCCAGAGCTTTTCCAGTCTGGCTGTGGGAACAGGCAGTTCCTGGCCCTGTGTGAGTGCTGGGTGCTGTTCTCTCTAGCCCTTTCCTCTGATTCTTTCCCTGCTCTCATGGAGTTTCCTCACACACTTGTGCTCATTCCACTGAATACGCAAGGGGACCTCTGCAGATGTTCACATTTTTCTCTCTTGTGCGCACTCTGTTGTGGTGACCTCTAGCTGTCTTAGTCTCTCCAGGCTCCCAATTTCATTCTGTCATTTCAGGTACCAGGCTTTGTGTGGGTTCCCTCCCTGCACTGCAACCAGGAAACTCCCTCAAGGCAATAAACTGGGGCAACCCTGACACTGACTCATCTCTTTCCTTTCTCTGCGGGTTTACTGTTTATTTCCTTAGGTCTAGTGTATTGCAGACCATTTGGTTCATATATTTTATTCTGTTTTGGTTGTGTCATGTGGGAGAGTAAATCTCTATTACTCCGTTTGGCCAGAAGCAAAGGTTATATTATTTAATTTTATTTAACATTTTGGTCTGTTTTTCTTTTCTTCCAATTTGAACTACTCATTCTTGAACACCACAAGCCGAGTCAGGTCTAGTGGGTTTCAGGGCTCAGATGGAGGGCTCTTCATGTCCAAGAGGTTCTAGAGTTTCTAAATATGTGACTTCAGTTTGAACATTTAGGTGATGTACTTGATTTCCTCTTTTGTGAATTTAGTCATACATAACAACTGTTTTCTAATGATGCACCACGTGAAGTCACAAAAAAGGTTCTTTTTTTTCATCCTAGTCTGCTCGTTACTCAGACTTACAGTTTTATTTAGCTCGTGTCCGTCATCTCTGCTAATTAAAACAATGTAATCAATCCATGTTCTGCAAGTCACATAGACCATTCTTAGAATAGCGAGCAGTACACTCCAGGCCTTCCTCTCTTTATATGATAGTGTGATGCCAAAGAAAGTAATGAACACATTTAAAATATTTGTAATACATAAACAGCCACTGACTTTCATAGCTGACTTAATTGGAAAAACTACATGATATAAAAATATTAACTGTAGACAAATGTTTAAATCTTAGATTCTAAAATTGACTTTGCTGTTCTTCATTATCAAATGGAAAGTTGAACTGACAAATGGGAAGTTCTCCTGTGGGTCTCAAAATCACTTTTTATTTTCTCCACCATATTCTTTTAGCCTGCTCTCAAGTATGTGTTGTATGCACTGGTTGGCTTCGTGGGTTTTGTAACCCATTACGTGCTGCCTCAAGTTAGAAAACAGCTACCGTGGCACTGTTTCTCTCACCCTCTGCTGAAGACAGTGGAGTACAACCAATATGAAGTTCAAAGTGAGTATTTCAGTAACACCCTTCTTTTTAATTCTCTTGGTTTCCTCTTTTCTGTTAAATAGTATCATCAAGTAACACTTTGGCTGTGTTTCTTATATTTAGGTTTGAAGCTGTAATGAGTCAAACTTTTTGTAGGTTGCTTTTATTTTAGTTAAGTATAAATATCAGTGCTACAAAGCCAACTTTCCACAAAATAAAATTTCCTTCTTCCTTCTCTAAATTGTTCTTCACAGACATCATTGATGCACCCTCTGTGTATGTCTGTGACTTCTCTTTCCAGTCCCTACCCTTTCCTTTAATTTTCCTGGCCATGTGGGGCAACACAATCTGCTTTAAGGCTTCTATTTGAAATATTTTAACTCAAAGCTTAGGGGGAATAGAAAGGTCTTTGTTTCTGCTTCCACCAGAGGCACTATGTCCTACCACAGAGGGGTATACAAAAATTGATTAGGAGAAAAGAAGTTAAAACATTTATAGTTGCTATTATTCATTCTGATTTCGGATAAAGTATAAAATGACTCAAAAAGAGGTGGAAGGCCAGTCCACGAGGCAGGGTTCGTGCTTGCCACTTGACACCCTGACTTTTCTTCCGTGTCTTAAATACACAGTCCTGTTGGCCCCATGCATGACCTGTAATTTAGAGAAATAACAAACATTCATACTTCTGTCGTTAATTACACTCTAGTAATTAAATAGGCCAGTGCTTTTCGTCAAACTTTTTTTCAGTTTGTAAATTACTATAGAGAGGAAATTCCTCAGTTGTTTGAAGATGTTATCTTCCTTCGAGAACTGAAAGCTTTCTATACCAATCTTGACTTTACATTCTCAAAGCAAATTTCCTAGGCCTTTACCAAAATTGAGCATTATGTAATCTTGATCACCAGTTTGATCCTGGAGAGAGAATGAAATAAACGCTAGTGTGCAGGTTGCAGTGATAACACTACAGACCTTTTACAAAATGTGTACTTTTTTAATAAGGGAAAATGACGTAAAATTGTATAAGAATCTGTATTGGTCCATTCTTACCATCAAAAAAATAACTCGGGGGAAAAAACCAAGCTGGCGGCATAGGTAAACACCAGAAATTGCTGCCTCGCACAACCACTTCAAAAATACAACTAAAAGACAAAACGGACATCATCCAGAACCACAGGAAGGCTGGCTGAGTGGAAATTCTACAACTAGAAGGAAAGAGAAAA